AACCTCGCCGTCTGTTTGCAGCGGTTCCGGGCTTGATGCCACGGTGGAGAAAATACCTCGGATTTTCCTCCGGGTTCGCGGTCGAGATGCGACGCAATTTATCCGGTTTATCCAGCTCATGCGCGTCACAGTGGTGGTCAGGGTGCTATTGGGGTCCGCGTAGTACTGGAGTACAAATTTGGTGCATTCGGGAGAGGGGGATGTATTTTCACATCAAATTACATTTGAAGGCGTTCTGCAAAGTTGAACAGGTCAACAAAGAGGATCCAGGAGTCTGTCGTTGTCTTGCCCGACGTTGCCTGGAAGAGTGGGTGGGGGATCATCCTTGTCAACTCTCGAGGAGTCTCAGCGCGTTCAGAGTCTGGAGAACAAGTTGCTGCTTCAAAACAAAGAGGTTCCCATCTCACATTGAGCCGCGATGATCCGGACCACGTCACACCAGCACCTGAGCAGTCTACAATCGCGTTCAGCTCGTCTGATATGCAGCTTGTGGGAAGGGAACTGTCTTTACGGCTGAGAAGCAACCCGTCATGTTGATTGGCAGCTGGTTCAAGATTGCATCGACAACACAGCCAGCACAGCCGTCAGGTGGGGTCCAAAGGATCAACAGGCTGCTAATGCCAATCGAGATCCCCCGCCCCCCGAACGCAACAGGACGGGACGAGGAACCGGAGGGATTTCTAGGTACAGTTCCGATATATCTACCCTCGCGAGTCCCCTCACGATGAATGTAGGACGATACAGCCGAACATTGTAAGTACTGATTTCTTGATGAAACACAGCCCGTGGGCTCGGTTGACTATCTAGGTACGAGCAGAGACGCCTGCCAAGCAGCAGGGCAGACCAGGGCGCAGAAGAAGCCGGCCGGTTCAGGGACCTGGGATAAGCCAACAACCTTGCGCCAAGACGAGCTTGAGATCCCAGAGGATACCAGCAATCCTGTAGTCCCTCGGAATACTAGGAATGTAACCTGACACATACAGGGGGACGGCGGCCCAAAGCTCCCAAAATAAGGATGATACAAAGGGGCAATGCCGCGTCCGCTTCGAGGGCTTTCCGCATCCCGCAAAATTCGACCCCTCTCGACCTTCTCAAGCGCTCAAGGACGACGAGATGCGGCTCCCAGCGGCGCTCACAACTCTTGGGCTTGTTGCCTCAGCGGCAGCCAAGATCAATTTCACCAATCCTCCACAATTCGCTGGAAAGATCATGACCACGGAGCACGACGTCTAGGTGGTGGGCCAGACGATCGACATACGGTGGACGCAGCCAGACAAGGGCAAGAAGCTGTCGGTGGTGCTATACCAGATGAATTCATCTATGACCGACGGCTACACCGGACAGTTTCCCAGTGGCGATCCCCCATTCGAATTCATAACGCGTACGTTTACCGCCTGTTTGCCCTTCGTATCGAACCCGGAAACTGAATCAGTTGTGCTCGCTCGTAGATGATCAAGTCGACGCAACCTCATTCAGATAGATCGTAGCCAACCAGTTCACCATCGCCGTGTGGTCCGCCGGCGCGCGCGTCACTGATTCGGCCACCAATATCTTCAACATCACCAGCGCTGCGACGATCTTCGACGAGACGAGTAGCACAGGCACAGCACCGACGACGGGATCGTCGGAAACATCTCCAGCGACCCCACCGCCTGCCCCTGGGTATCGCTTGAGTCCTCATCCTCGTCTCCTCTCGACAGGGGCAAGCGCTGGAATCGGAGTCGGGGCCGCGGTTGGCGCGATCGTTCTCGCATCTTTGGTGTGGTTCTTCATCCGACGAAGAAAGTAGGAAAATGCTGCATCCTCTGCCCAAGAATATTCAGAGCTGAGTTCAATCTCCCTAACGAAGGGTAATGGGGCATTGGAGAAGGTCACATACCACCAGAGCCCAAGTCCGAACGACTCGGCTGTTCATACCCCTGTCTATACTGCTGAGCTGGGGACATAAAATAGAGCGGAAATAGCGTCAAATACGGCTGGGGTACACAGATACGAGTTGTCTTGAGGGGGAGAGGCAATAGTGGAGGAAAAATGGGGCTAATAAGGGGTCATGTAATGCCGATATATCTCATTCCGAGATACTCTCGGGGTCAATACTATCCGCTTTGTTTTGTCGGCAAGCTTTATCACTTCAACTCCTTGACTGCGTGGCACCGGTGGCTTGGTGGATTCACACCATTCAGGGGTCAAAGCATTTTCACGTCTCAAAACCGCCGTTCGGCCAGAGAGAGTACCTTACAGCCCTTTGCTCAGAGCGTCCAGCCAACCGTAGTACAGGTTAGGTGAGTTCCATTTGTCGAGCCCTTACACAGATCAATGTTTACAATGTTCCAGGCGAAAAGGGGTAACCGAAAAGGTGAAGCCATTTACCATCCACAGCCTCTCAACCTCATCTGCAGAGCCGCTCATTCCCGTGCCCAACCTTTTCACACCCCGTCACCGTCCTCGGAAAAACATCTACCCCATCCTCCTCCCCAACGACCCCCGATCCGATGATGTCGTCCAGACCCGCGTCAGGACCCGCACCATGCTGAGAACCGCCCTCCCAACCGCGGATTCCAGCGCAGGGCGAGGATTTTTCAGTTCTACTTGAATTTTTAGCCCCTCGGCGCTTTTCCTTCTCCTCCATCACTCGCCAACACAAAAGACAATGGCGAACAAAACGCTGGCACTCTTCAGCGAGCAAGGCTCGGTCGGCGATGGCAAGAAAACCATCGCCGCCGCGCTGCTTTACCTGGTGAGTCTTTTTTTTTTCCTTCTTTTTTTTCGGGACGTTTTGCAGCTCGCTGGGCGCCGGCAACTTCTCCTGCAGCCTGTTCCTGATTCCTCGTCTGACCTGGAACGCCGGTGCTAACTCCTCTTTTTTTTTCCCCCTTGTAGTTTTCAGAACTAGGTTGGCAAGATCTTCGAGACCGGTTCGACATCCCCCGGGACACCAAGATCCGGCGCATCGCGTGCCAGCTGGAGGGGCTGCCAATGCCCCATTGGCGTTTTTGGACGTCCGCGGACGTGTTCTCGCTTGTGGAGCGTGAGTACTTATTCGAACACAAAGCCTCTCTCCCCCGTGGTTCTTTGGCGCATATCAAAGAGTTAACTGACGGTTGCTGGAAAATAGATACATCCAACCCAGACGTCGCCATTTGGGTCATTGACATCACCAAGGAGCCTGACGAGCTGACATCTTCGGCTATGTCTCTCTTGGTTGATATTCAGTTGGGACGCGTGCGGCCGAAGGAGAAGTTGATCGTCGTGGTCACAAAGATGTGAGTGCAAGCTGTGATTGTGCTTCTCAATCTTGCAGGCACTGACTTTGATGGAACCCAGGCGTGAGATCGACTGGGACGGCGCCAAGTACAACTATGCAGTTGATTTCCTGCGGGACCAGTTGCGAATCCCGGACCTCATGCCGTTGGTAGAGTGAGTTTCCAATCATCATTGCATTGGGCACATTCACGCCTGGGCTTGACATGGGCTAACACAGTGCGTTTTTCTTTTCACTTCCAGGGTTGTCTTTGTTCCGATTGACGCGATTACGTGCGAAAACATCAAATACCCTCCGCGTGAGGGGCTGTGGGTGTTCAGCGAGGTCACGCTTCTAAAGGCACTTGACCCGATCGAGGTCAGTGTGACACTTGAAGAGTTGATGGCGCCCCCAAGCGAAGCCGAGGCCTTTCTTGAGATACTGGAGGACGTGATGAGTGGCCTCGATTTTGAAGAGTCGAGCCTGGAGGAAAGCTTGCGTTCCGATCTCAACTGAGTTCTTTGGTTGATGCCCAGGGGCTTGTCGCATGCGGCCTCAAACGGATACCAGAGTTGGTTGTCCTGACGACACCCCGGCCCCCTTTCCGGGAACGTCACTCGATGTTCTGGCCTGGGCTCAGTTTGACACTCCCATTGCCTATGCTGGGTTTCAATTTCGGTCTCCGGCAGGTTTGAGCGGCACACGATATCTCCCCATCAAGCAGGCAGCCGGGATACCACTTCGGAAGCAATCACAATGCAGGGGACCGACCAGACTTCTAGGCATCAGCATCGACTTGGTTCCGACCTTCTTTCGACTCCTCAACCCGTCTTTCTTGCGACTCTTTCTGCTCTTCTTCCCGAATAAGCACGGCCAAGGACCAACAAGCATTGATGTGGTGGACTTGTGATCGGCCGGTTGCACCTGTTTTCCGGCTGATGCTCAAGAATCGGAATTCGCTTCTCGAGACAGACCCATGTCCTGTTGTGCCACCACAGCTCAGCCAACATCCCGAGTTTTTCGAGCCCTTAGGTAGTAGTGCGGAAATAGGAGGCAAGAGTTACCGAGTTGAATGGCCGTGTTGTTCTTAATTTGATGCAAACCTTCCGAGTTCGCCAAGTTTTCTCTTCAGTACCGTACCTCATCATAATCGAGGTGTCTCAGACACGAGCAAAGGCTGGCATGCCAGCGACGTCACATTGACAAACTGTAAGATATAGAAAGACACCTTCATCCCTTGTGAAAAACAATGAAATCCTGCGTGCCACTACGCAGTCATTATCTCAATTCAAAGCTCACCTGTCCCAAGTGTCATCATCATGTTTGCAACCAACAACTTCGTCTCCATTGCGAGCCTCCTCGCCCTCGCTGCCCTCCCCAGTGTCCTCGCTGTCAATGGCAATGCGACCTACTATGGCGGTAACCTCTCTGGAGGCAACTGCATGTTCTCGTCTTACTCTCTCCCGTCTGGGATTTACGGCACCGCCCTCGCCGGTCCGAACTGGAACTCGGCCGCGCAATGCGGCACCTGCGTGCGCGTCACGGGGCCACAGGGTAATTACATCAAGGCAATGGTATGTTATTTATTTGAGTCCTTCACATGCAAAGACGATATCAATCCATTTTTGGTGTGGAAACACCTTGTTGTCGGGACCCCTCAAAGTTCTCCTCGGGAGTGACTCCATTCCCACCCATCCCTGACACCGCAACCATATCAAGCCCCGAAACTCTCCACAGCTCAACAAACATCCACTTGTCCGGCAAAGTAGCCAAGCGGTCTAAGGCGCCAGGTTCAGGTCCACCTGAATTAGCAATTAAGCATCCTGGTCTCAGAAATGGGGCGCGAGTCCGAATCTCGTCTTTGTCATCTTTTTGCCTCATCCATCTTCCCTCCTCTTTTTGCCTCCCTAATCTTCCTCTCCATCTTACTCCTCCCAAACACACTATCACAACGACACTCTAACCCCAACCCAGGTAGTCGACCAGTGCCCCGGCTGCTACGCCAACCACCTCGACCTCTTCCAAAACGCCTTCGCCCAGCTCTCCCCACTCCAAGCCGGAATCATCCAAATCTCCTGGGAGATTATCCCCTGCGGAATCACCACCCCCCTGACGCTCCGAAGCAAAGACGGCGCGTCGCAGTGGTGGTACGTACCAACATCTTCTCTTTCTCTTCTCCCAATCTCACTTCACTCTACCCCTTTTATCCATCCCAACTCCACCACGAACATCCGAGGTGAAACTGACTGACCAACCACAACCAGGTTCTCCCTCCAAGCCCTCAACGCCAACTACCCCATCACCGGCCTCGAAGTGAGCACCAACGGCGGAAGCACATGGCAATCCACCACCCGGCGCGACTACAACTACTTTGAGAAGAGCTCCGGTGGCGGATTCGGGACTCAGACTGTCACGGTGCGCGTCAGTTGTGCGAATGGTGCAAAGGTGACGGTGCAGAATGTCAATGTGAATGCTGGATCGGTGACGCAGGCTTCAGGTAATTGTTGATTGTTAAACAGCTGGGAGATTGGGTTGCGTGAGGGTTGGCTCAGCGTGAAATTGAGTCGGGGGTTCGGCGGGGTGGGTATGAATGTGTCAAGGGTGCAAAATATCCTTCCCTCGCAAACAGCACGCAACCAAGACAGCAGTTGAAGAAGCGAATGAATTAAGTACGAAACAGCTATGCTTGAACTATATCCACAACCACGAAGCGAACGACAGCATGTGGTCGAAACAGGGTATCATGATCCGCACCAACACGACAAAAAACAAGCAGGTATCCTGACGGTAAATAAATTTCATTATGTATGGTTGTTATTGATGAGCGACCTAAGCCAGTCGAGTGGTATCCTTGTTTTTTCTTTTGAGGAAGCCAAAGTACAATGTCGGAAATCAGACCACCCCAAAACTCATCGACACCGTGGGTATCATGTGCCACAAACGATAACTGACTTAAGCAGTCTTCTCGGGCTCAGCGCCCTTGAGGCTGTGGGTGCTGCCCGCCGCGGTAGCGGTGTGGAGGATGTCGCTGGCCTCGCGCCTGAGCTCAACGTAGTCGTAGGCGAACTCGCCAAGCTCGGCATCATCGACACCAAGCTCCTCCTGCTCGGCAGTCACGCGGAGCGACAGGCCGGGAACGAGGTTCATGAGGAAGAGGATGACGCAGGTGAGGACGAACGAGTACGAGAAACCGGCAACCGAGTCGGCGAGCTGGTAGCCGAGCTGGATGTAGTTCTTGTTGACCCAACCACCAGGGATCTCGGTGGCGCCATCAAGGTGGGCAATGTAGTCACTGGAAAGCATGGTTAGCAGGGCCACAGCGATCAGGTCAGCAGGAATACGTACGCAGCGAAGAGACCAGTCAGCAGGTTGCCGACGATACCGCCGATACCGTGCTCAGCGAACACATCGAGACCCTCGTCAACGCCAATGAGGAACTTGATCTTGGTGCCAAAGTTGCAAGCAATAGCGCCAACGACGCCGAAGACGACAGCAGTCCACGGGGGAACGTAACCAGCACCAGGGGTGATGGCAACGAGGCCGGCAATGACGCCAGAGCAGAAACCGACAGTGCTCCACTTGCGCTCAAGACGGTAATCGAGGAGGCACCAAGTGAGGCCACCGACGCAAGCAGCGATGTGGGTGACAACGCAGGCCATGACGGCGCGGGTGTTGGCGGCAAGGGCGGAACCACCGTTGAAGCCGAACCAACCAACCCAGAGGAAGACGGTTCCGAGAACGACGTGGGTGACGTTGTGGGGGCGGTACGGGAGGCCATTGACCTTGCTGTAGCCGGTGCGCTTTCCGAGCATGAGGGCGTAGGCGAGAGCAGCGGCACCGGAGCTGATGTGGACGGGAGTACCACCGGCGAAATCGAGACCGCCCATGATGAACGACCAGCCATTGGCGTTCCAGGTCCAGTACGCAATCGGGTCATAGACGATCGTGGCCCAGATGAAGATGAAGACGATCGCGGGGAAGATGCGAGCGCGGTCAGCAGCACCACCAATGGCGAGAGCGGGACTGGGAAACAAGAGGTCAGCTCAAGGGCGCGTCGCGCAGTGAAAGGGGAGAATGCGTACGTGATGGCAGCGAACATGCCCTGGTAGAGCATGAACAGGATGTCGGGAAGCTTGGAGCTACCGACGCTGGGCTGGCCGAGCACCTTCATGAGGCCAAAGTTGGACAGGTCGCCGATGAAGGCGCTGCCAGTGTGGGAGAAGGCAAGGGAGTAACCCCAGAAGAACCATTGGAAGCCTACAACGGCTATCGCGAGCAACGACAACAGGATCAGCGACAGGGCCGACTTGCGACGGGCCAGGCCGCTGTAAAAGAAGCCGACACCGGGAACCATGAGCAGCACGAGGGCCGAGCAGGTCATGACCCAGGCGAAGTCGCCATTCTGAGACACGGGTTAGCTGCGGACCAGGCCATTGGCGAAGAATTGGTGACGGGGGCGGCGCGTTGCAGGAGGAAAAAAAAACGTACCGAGTAGTAGATGTTGAGATCCTCGGTCAACGAGTCACCTCCGGAGTCAGCGATGCCGCTGACCCCTGCGTACTCCTCAGGGACGCCGGCCGACATGGTGAAGGCAACGCGATCGCGATGACTTTTCTTGTCTTTTGTTGGTGGCTTCTTCAGGACGCGCCTGCGGATGGGAACTGGGAAGGCCTTGGGCGTGTGAAGCTCAAGGAAAGGACTGATCGAACCCAAGGTTGCACAGAAAAGAAAGTTTCGGGAGCTCGGTGGTCGGGGGGACCAGCACGGTAAATAAAAGCATCGCCCCCCAGGTCCCGCGTCGCAGTCGCAGTCACAGTCACAGGCACGACATTGACCAGGGCCCTGCCGGCCGGGTTGCTTGTGCCGTGCTGCGTGTCGCTTGTCGGAGCTTGGCCGTTCGCTGATAAGAGACCGTCGTTATTGTCGGCGAGCAAAGACCCCCCCGTTCCGTTCCGGGACGCCTGTTCGTTCTCGTCACCATTCAGGCCCTGTGATTGGTGGGCCCTGGGAGATAAGGAATCCTCGGCGGTGCAGGGAAACGGTGGGGGGCAAGCATGGGGTCTCGAGCCTCCACTTCCAAGCCTTGGCATTCCGATGTCCTGGATCGATTGAGCATCATCGTGTGGAGAAAGAAGACGCTGGGCTACTATTTCGAGATAGAAGACACCAACCGCAAGGTGATCAGCGGTGTCAGCTAGTGTCAACCGTCAAGCACGCGCCATCTCATCGCGTCTATGCCCGAGCGCGCCCGATGGTCGGACGACAGACGCTTTGAAGTTTGGACGACATTGCACAGCATGGTGACACAGCATCGCAAGCTGGCCTGCCCGACCGACCATCATGAAACGGGACATGGCAAACTTCCGAAAGGGGAGACACTGACCGGCAGTCATTTAGCCAGGCAGCCAATGCATTTCTACCAAGACACACCGACCTGGCTCTGCAACAACAGCATCCGCCCTCTTCGAGAGACACGAAAATTCAAGCGCCATCTGTTTCACCCGTGACAAGGTTAGGGGATCATCGATCTGTCCAGCTCTGCGAGGACCAGTCGCGTGTGTGCAGCGCAAAAATCAATGAGCCCAAACGCGGTGGCCAACGCGGTACAGACCATCCCCAGACCATCCCGCCTGCAGGGCAGCGTGCCGCTGCAGGTAAGCTGCGGCTGTTCCCCGTGAACCCAGAATGCTTGTCCTTGTCCATACCACTTATTACTGCGCAGTAGTCGATATTGCAATGAACAGTCGCTAATTGCCTGGGATCGTGTAATGGTAGCGTAGCATCCTGAATGCTGCAGCGGCACCGCCGTGAGGATCTCCCAAGTGAAGAAATTTCGTCGACTCCTTTCGCTTGCTGCTGGAATACCTTCACTTTCCCAAAAGGGGTTCTTGAATGTGGCTCGGGTGGTATCTGAGAAGCAGACTCGCTAGCAGAAACCCACCTGCACGAGCCGACATCTCAACCCAGCGGCAACGCAGTCTGCAGGCATCGAGCCCACTGCTTGGTTGTTGTGCTCTCAAATCCTCAGACCACAGGTGAGGTTGACCCAGTCCTCGTGACCGCGATCCTGCCAGCGAATCCCATCATCACAAATCCGTTTGGGGAAAGGAGTCGAGTGGGGGGATCGCGCGACTTCGAACGCCACCAGCAAGCCTCCGATGTCGACTGACAGCCAAGTTGCGCAAGCGCGTTGGCTCCCGAAGCCGATCCATCCGTCGATCCAATCGAGGCTACCATCAAAGCCACTACTGCCAGACAGCTGTCGTCCGGAACAACACGAGCTGATTATGCCAGAAAGATAAGACTGCAACTGGCAAACGAAAATACGCGATCCGCCTAGCAGCCCAGATCCCGATGGAATGAAAGCTCCAGCTTGGGATCGCGGTTGGTTCCGCTTTGGACATTACGAATTTCCATGTCTACTCCGTACTTTCTGAGCAGTTGCTTCACCCGCCGTTATCAGCGATCCACAGCTCCCTCCGAGCTGCTTGTGCCCCTCGCTAGTGCAGGCTATAGCGCCTCCTGCCTCAGCCAAACCCGTGGCGCTTCTCCACGGTTTCGCCAAACCAAACCGCGTTGGGCACTGCTGGTGATGAACGCCTCTCGGCTGGCTCAAACGGTGGGAACGGATCGGGTTTATTGCTTCCCCAATGCTGCTCCATGATTGGTTGAGCACGCCTCTTATCTCTCGGCGCTGTGGGGCAACCTTGGCATTGGGCTTGGCATACCAAGCAGCAAAACTCCAAAACGGAGTGATGAATCAACAGGACACACAATGTGTGGTGTGTCGGTGCTCTGGGGGAAAAGACCAAAGCGCGGGAGAGCCAGACCTCGATAGCAGCGGGTCGCTCAAAGAGGAGAGGGCAC